CCCTACACAATTCTGGCTGCCCGCGGCTGTTCTTGTGGCTTTGGACAAGTGCGCAGAGGCCATGCCCCCTTCTCTGTGTGGGTGGAAGGAAACACCTGCAGGATTTAACAGAGCCATGGCTCCAGCTTGGTGAATTCTTGGTCTTTAGTTGTCTCGGCAAGTGCGCTAAGAGCCTCGTCCCAGTCTGTTGCTTTGGCTACGCTGACGCAGAGGGAACGGCTGCACATGTCTCCAGCTCTGTGTCAAGCAGTTTATGCCAGACTTTTTCCATTGCGTGCGCAGCGTAGTTATTCATATAGGACTGTAGCGCAGTTGGCGTGACTGCCATGCCCTCCATAGGGGCTGTTCGCACAGCTGTCAGGGCCTCTGCTGGGTCTCGTAGCTATTTGGTCATGTCTGGTGCTCAGGGCCCCAGTGCAAATAGCCTGAATGTAGTGACTGCTCCAAACCTTGGCTCCTCGTGGGTCTCTAAGGAAGCGACAGTTTATCCCCAAATCCCTGAGCAGGGCACCCAGCAGCCTCTGGATATTAAATCTTAAGATCTATGAGTAACATGCTGGCCTGAGGTTATCATGGTGGTTCTTGAACTGCTTTCTGTGAAGAGTTGGCCGGTCTCCTTGTGTTGGCCGTCCTTTATATTTGCAGCAGCTGAAACACATAAGCAAGCAGCTAAAAATACATTTCATCCTTTCCTGACATTCCCTCTCATGTCAGGGACTGCTTCGGTTCCCTCAAGGCCATTATTGGGGTGGGGAGGTGGCTTGCTCCATCAGGAAGGTGAGAGGCTGGTCCATCGGGCCGTCTGTGGCTAGGCTGTGAGAAGCATAGCATGACCAGCTCTTCCCACCTCTCGGCACTGCTGACTTTATGATTTACATGCTTGTGCTCATTTCCATTTGCAGAGCGTTTGATAATTCAAACGAAGGATTTAGACACTGGGAGTTCATGACTGTCCACTGCTGGGGGGAGAGAGCCGAGGGGGAATGGACTCTGGAGGTCCGCGACATGCCGTCCCAAGTGCGCCACCCTGCTCATCAAGGTACGTACCCACTGTCATCCCTCTCACATGTCCCTGCTGAGAGGCGAGGCTTGGATGCTGCTCAGTGTACAGCTCATGGGCTTGTTCATCACACCACGCTTCATGCAGATGTCTGTACAGTACTTACCGAGAACATCTGGGCCCCGGCCCCCAGCTGTTTTGCTTAGGTAGCTCTGTGCTATGTTTCTTAAGTATAAAGCTGCAAAATGGAGCACCTGGCTTGCCCCCATTTCCAAGCATAGGTGCATAAAACTCTTATCCCATATGTAGGGCATGATGCAAAGACCATTGAGACAGGATAGAATTAGTTATGCCGAGGAAAGCAAGAGATCTGCCTGCCAATGGATAGTCTAAGAGGGAACCTCAGCTTAGCTTTGAAGGGAAGTTGAATTTTGGTGAAACCAGAAATACAGGTTCCCAAATCCAGATCAAAACAAAAGGAAGCCAGGGGCTGTAATGTGATTTGAATTGGTTTGGCTTGGGAACTCACTAGCACCACAACTGAAGGAGACTTGGGGGTTATGATTGACCACACGATGAACATGAGCCACCAATGCGATGCTGCAGCTGGCAAAGCAAATAAAACTGGCTTACATCTACTGATGCATCTCAAGCAAGACCCAAGATGTCATCCTCCCACTTTACTCAGCCTTGGGGAGGCCGCAGCTGGAGTACTGCATCCAATTCTGGGCTCCACACTTTAGAAAGGGCATGGAGAAGCTCGAAAGAGTCCAGAGGAGAGCCACGCGCATGATCAGAGGTCAAGAACAGGCCTTTTGAAGGGAGGCTGAGAGCCATGGGACTCTTCAGCCTGGAGAAGCGTTGGCCACCTATAAGTACATCAGGGGTGTGCAACAGGATCTGTGGGAACACCTGTTCACCAGGGCACCCCAAGGTAAGACAAGGTCTAACAGTCACAAACTCCAGGAAGACCGTTTTAGACTGGACATAAGGAAAAACTTCTTTACCGTCTGAGTCTCCAGGGTCTGGAATAGACTCCCCCCCAGAAGTGGTGCAAGCACCTACTCTGGATACCTTTAAGCAATGCTTGGATGCTTATCTTGCTGGGGTGACCTGACCCCAGCTGGCTTCCTGCCCCTTGGGCAGGGGGCTGGACCCGATGATCTCGCAAGGTCCCTTCCAGCCCCCATCAATGTCTATGAAACGTGTGTACTGTGGGGACAATTCTTCCATGGCATGAAGGGAAAAGGAAAGAAAAAGTCCTTTCTCTCTCCAGGTCTCTAACTGGCAATTTAGGAGTGAAGAGCACTGGATGGCTTTTTAATTAGTGTAAAAGGGGGAGTGAAGTTGCACATCCAGGTTATCGCTGGTGAAAAGCCAAAGTGTAAGCAGAAATCCTCCCACATGTCTCCACTTACTAGAGGAGGGTGGGTGTGTGTAGACAATAACTGTGCAAGCGGATAGTTGTGATTTCTGCCAGATTGTTTCCTAATAAATTTAATGCGATCGGTAAAACTGTCACAGGCTGACACCCGTCGCTCCATTTTGTTTCTTGACTATTTTCAGCTGGCATGTTTTAAAAAAAGAAAGCAAATATGAATCAGATGACTCAGGACTCATTACCCCCACATAATGCACAGCACTTATAGCACACGATGCCTTTCACCTTCACGGTGCTTTACAGCCATCCTGACTAAAGCTCTCACCGTGGTGAGGCAGGGTCAGGATTATCATCCCTGCTAACGGGGTGGGGGGGGGTCGCACAAAACCAAAGCAGAATTGATTCAGCCAAAGTCACAAAGAGACCCTGTGTCCAAGTCAGATTCAAACTCAGAGCAGAGATGGACAGCCTGTGCTGGGGTCGCGGCTCCCTCTGTTTGCAGGTCTGCAGGGAAGATGTTAATGCAGCTGGGCAATATGAAGTTATTTCCTATGCACATGCCCATGCTAGTTTTAAATTGGCTCACTTGGGTCCTCGTGGCAGTGCAGAATAGCACAGAGCTCAGTGCAGACTCACTGCTTGAGTATCTTCCTGGGCAGGCTTTCCAGATGACACTGTTCTGTGTTTCCATGGCTCTTCAGCCAGCAGCCCCCAAGCTAGCCAGATAGGTCTGCACAAGCTGCACTCACGGCAATGGCCAGTAGCAGAAGTAGGGCAGGGCAAGTGGGGCACCAGCCGCAAGCGTTGATTGAGAAGGAACACTAGTAGCATCCTGGAGTCTCCCACACCCCTGCTTTCCTGTGCCCCAATGCCACTTCACAGCCCGAATTACTTGTTACACCCCTGCTAATGATTATGGGGTAGAAGTACCCTGAGAGTCCTCCCTAGCTCTCCTCCCTTGTGCCCAGCCTGCTGGCCTCTCCTGCTGTAGCTGCAACCCAGGCAGCTGTTCTCCCATCAGCTTGCTTCCTGTATGATTTACTGTCTTCCCTTACTGTATGATTTACTGTCTTCCCTTAGTAGGGAGCTGTCTGGAGGGCAGGTGGGAAGGGGAAGACTGGCTGGAGATGACTATCTGTCTGCAAACACTCAAGAGTCGTTAGGCCGATGGCCGAGCTATCAGCTCTGACCATTCTGTCTCCAGTCTGTGACCAACCCTCTGCACGGGTCAGACCAGAAAACCAAGACCCACCAGAGACAGGAAACATAAAAAGTCTGGTAGGACTTAGAAAAACGTTCGGGGGCAGGGAATGCTGAGAGGAACCAGACTGACACCACATCTGGGAACCTGTTGGAGTGGCCGGGGCAGCTGGACATGCTGCCGTGGGGTGGGAAGACTTTGCACAAAGTAGTCTTGTGTGTTTGAAGATGCTTTTCTTTCAGTAATGCTTCATTCCTACTGCCAGCCAGACAGTGCTCTTGTTTAACAGTGGTTTTTACCACTATGTATCACTGGTGATAAATTCTCAAAGGGAAGAACTGCAGGTCCCAGATCCAGTCATTACTGCTGGGAGAAGTGATTGGCACAGCCCTGTTCTCAGTCCACGATTGGGACCATGGGAAAATCCTGCTCCAAGTCCTGTCAGCACCAGAGATCAAACACATCAGGATGCACGCAGGCCTGGATAGGCTGTATTTGCATGCTGCCTCATGATTGTGCCAGGCATGCCAAGGATTGCTGGCCTGGTATTTGGCCTCTCTGTTGTCTCATTTGTTAACTAGCTCCTTGCTATACCAGATCCCTAAAGTCAAAGGAAGCTGCATTTTAAAGACCAGCCTCAGGCATTGGCTTTCCCATCACCTTTTCCAACTCACAGTGTTCCTCTGTCAGGACATAGGATCATAGACTCATAGACAGTTGGAAGGGGCCTCAGGAGGTCACATCTAGTCCAACCCCTTGCCCAAAGCAGGACCAGCCCCACCTAGATGATCCCAGCCAAGGCTTTATCAAGCTGGGTCTTAAAAACCTCCAAGGTTACCTCTCTGGGTAACCTGTTCCAGTGCTTTACCACCCTCCTAGTGAGAAATTTTTTCCTAATATCTAACTTCAACTTCCCTTGCAGCAACTTGAGCCCATTGCTCCTTGTTCTGTCATCTACCCCCACTGAGACCAGTCCAGCTCCATCCTCTTTGCAACCCCCTGTAGGGAGTTGAAGGCTGCTATTAAATACCCCTCTGAGACTTCTCTTTTCCAGACTGAATAAACCCAGTTCCCTCAGCCTCTCCTCATAAGTCATGTGTCCCAGCCCCTGAACCATGGTCATTGCCCTCCGCTGGACTCTCTCCAACTTGTCCACATCCTTTATATAGTGAGAGGCCCAAAACTAAAAACAGGACTCCAGATATGACCTCACCAGTGCTGAGTAGAGGGGAATAATTACTTCCCTCAATCTGCTGGCAGCTCTCCCACCACTGCAGTCCAGGATGCCATTAGCCTTCTTGGCAACAAGGGCACACTGCTGGCTCATATCCAGCTTCTTGTCCATTGTAATTCCCAGGTCCTTTTCTGCAGAGCTGCTGCCCAGCCCATCAGCCCCCAGCCTGCACCGGTGCACGGGATTGTTCTGTCCTAAGTGCAGGACTTTGCACTTGTCCTTGTTGAACCTCATGAGATTTCTTTTGGCCCAATCCTCCAATTTGTCAAGGTCGCTCTGCATAGCCCTGCCCTCCAGTATATCTACTACTCCCCCCAACTTGGTGTCATATGCAAACTTGCTGGGGGTGCACGCCATCCCCTCTTCCAGATTCTTAATGAAGAAATTGAAGAAAACGAGCCCCAGGGCTGACCCCTGGGGCACTCCACTTGATACTGGCTGCCAACTAGACCTTGAGCCATTGATCTTTTCATATTGAGCCCAACAATCCAGCCAGCTTTGTATTCACCTTACAGTCCATTCATCCATCCCATACTTCCTTAGCTTGCTTGCAAGAATGCTGTGGGAGACTGTTGCAGGGCACTAAGGTGCCTGCTCCTTTAAGGGCTGAAACTGCTTAGGGAGAGAGCCCTAGCAGTCAGGCAGGAAGCCCACGGGTGCAGGTTACTGTGGCAGCAGGCCTAAGGAGGGAATTAGCCCACACCTGCACCTGGCCAGCTGACTGGAAGAGGCAGGGCTCTGGGCCCATATAAACCCCAGGGCTGGGACTAGAGAGTCAGTTCCCTGCCAGCAGCCAAAGGAGCCTCCAGGGAGGAATTGCCCAGATGCTGCAGCTGCCTGGTATGCGGCACTTAGGGTTAATGGGGATCCAGGAGCTCACCAGGTACCCTTGACTACTAGGCACTTAGTGCCAGGGAAGAAGTTTGACTCTTTTAAAGGGGCAGAGCACACCCTGAACTTTTTGGGTTATGTTATAGCCCAGGGGCTCATATTTTGGTTGCTGTCTTATAACTCCAGAGGATCGGGCTGAGGCTATTGGGGAAGGAGGAGGCCTCGTTGGGGGCCCACTACAGTGTGGGGACCCCAGCACCAGAGTGGGTGCAGGATTTGGGGTGAACAGACCCCAGCGCCAGAGTGGGTGCAGGGACAAAAGGGGTGAGTGGATCCCAGCACCAGGGGGCACTGAGAGAGAGACAGGGCGGCAGAGAGCCCAGTGATGACTGAAGGCCAAATTAAATTAAAGACTTGGAGGGACAATGAGTGAATGCCATCTGCAAGGCTTGGGGCGTGGTAAAGGGATGGTTTGGAGTCATGCATCTAGCCCATAAGGCTGAAGGTGTCCTAAGAGGCATCCATTTTTGGAGCAGGACCCAAAAGGGGTCCAAGAACCCACAGGATTCAGCGGTGTCCATCAGGACCGTGCCCAACATAAACTCAAGGGCAGCCACCCTATTCATAATAATCACCAACAAGACGTGGCAGGAGAGAAAGAAGGGTGCCCATTGGGCAGGATTGGCACTATCAAAGGGACCTAGGGGTATCATGGCCAGCACTGAGGACCCCATCCCGTGACAGAGACCACATGAAAAGCCAAGGTATATCACGTCTACTGTTTTTCCCACATCCACAGTGCCAGTCATCTCATCATAGAAGGCAGTCAAGTTGGTCAGGCATGACTTGCCCTTGGTGAATCCATGATGACTGGATGAATATTGATGCCTTCAAACAGAAGACCACCAAACATCTCTAGACTGTAATGCCGGCTATGATTCTCCATGCAAAAGTTTCTGCCGTGTCAGCTGCTCCTCCAGGTTTCACATAGAGCAGTTGTTCGAAGGGCTGTAGCAGGGGCAGCAGTTTTTTTTTCCTCCTCCCCAAAGGTTACAGCCCTATGGAGAGATGACACTTGCAAGCCCTCGTCTGTTATGGTTGGGAGGGAGCCTCTCCTCCTGCGTGAGTCTTCAATTCTTCCCTCCCCTGAATTTCTGGCC